TGGAGAGTATGTTGCTAGGCAAAGCTCCTTACCCAGTCTCCAATTTCTAGCAGGTTTTCATTTTTCCTTTGCTAAAGAGATAATTTCTGAAACTTCAGTTTCCTTATTCTGTGGTACCTGAATCAATGTAGAACATGAAAACTATAGCAGCCAAGATGTTAAAGTACCAATCATGTCTCTTATCCATATTGGTTCTGAGGCAATTAATAAACACATTCAAGTATCAGGTAAGTTCAAAAAATCAGGGTTTTCTTTTTCTTTTTTGCTAAAAGCTGCTTTGGAGACTGTGGCTGGGTTGTGAACATAAACTGGGCTTCCTAATACATACCCTTAACTGGAACTACTTGTCTAGTCACTAATAGAAGTTTGGCCTTGGGCTATGTTTGTAATTCAGTGGTAGAGCACTTGCCTATCATGTGTGAGGCACTGGGTTCAATCCTCAGCACCACATAAAAATATATTTATAAATAAAGTCATTTTAAAGAATCTTTTTCTGTTTAAAATAAATAAAAGTTTGGCCTCCCTGATAAAGGAAGAGTATCATGCATTGTTGGCAGCTGTTTGAAAAAGAATGAACCAAAAATGGAATGTGGTACCTGTGCTCAACATTATGTGCTACCATTTTTTCTTTGCAGAAAGAAAGGATGATTCTTCTTCTCACTCTTTCTTAACTTTCATACAAATACGTGCAAGAGGGTAGGTGTTTCTATCTTATGAACAATTAGAAATGAAAGAAGAGAAAGAAAATAGTTCTATAAAGAGTTCTTCCTGAGGCTGGGATTGTAGCTCAATGGTTTTTTGTTTGTTTGTTTTGTTTTTTGTTTTTTTAGAGAAAGAGAGAGAGAAAATTTTTTAATATTTATTTTTTAGTTATTGGCAGACACAACATCTTTGTTTGTATGTGGTGCTGAGGATTGAACCCAGGCCACATGCAAGCCAGGCGAGCGCGCTACCACTTGAGCCACATCCCCAGCCAGTAGCTCAATGGTAAAGTGCTTGCCTAGCATGTGTGAAGCACTGGGTTTGATTATTAGCGCCAAAGATAAATAAATAAAAGGTCTGTCAACAACTAAAAACATTTTTTATTTTAAAAAAAGAGTTCTCCCTAAACATGCCCTCACCTCCTGCTCTTTTCTCCTGAGATCATCTGTCCTAGAATGCATTGAGCCACCCCTAAGATCCCATCCACTGATACCTGGGTAGTGAAGTCTCCAACTGAATATCAAAAGTAATGGAGGTAAAGGGATGAAAAGGAATTATTGTTAGGTCCTGACTTAGATCCACACTCTAGTTATAGGAGTTGTAGGAGGGGAAGACTACCCTGAGTTTTGGTTGAGCTGCCCTTGTGTCTCTGAAAAGGTAGGGGAGGGGAAATACCAATCAATGGGTATTTACATTATCTTTTATTACATGGTCCCTATTTCTGTGAGCAAATCCTGGCTTTTCCATCTCAAGCCTAGTAGGTTTTATCAATCTCTGTAAGATTCTTGCCTGCCTTTTAATTGGTAGTATGCGTTGTTAATTAAGCTTTTGGTCATTTTGTGAGTTTTAATCCATTTCTGTTTCTTCAGAAATTACAGTTCAGGTGCCACATTAAACTAGATGTTTTGCTTATTTTAATATGACATCATCTCTTCCCATAACTTAAGTGGCTACTTTCTCCTGGTTCTCCTCCAACTTGTGATCTCTGTCTTCAGTGTTCTTCATACCATCCATTTATGATGCTCTTCCTTGGATGCTGGCATGGTCCAGGGCTCTGTCTTTGCCACAGTCTCTTTATAACCATCCACCATTTTTTTCTATTTGATCTCATCTACTCCAGTGACTTCAGCTAGCACATATAGTTGGGGCTGACAACCAAATATAAATTCAATACCAAATGTTTTAGTCTGTTCAGATTGCCATAACAGAATGCCATAAAATGTGTTACATATAAACATCAGAAAGTTATTTCTCACTGTTCTGGAAGCTAGAAGACCAAGATCAAGATGCTAGCAAATTCTGTGTCCGGTGATGGTCCACTTCTTGGTTCATAGATGGCCATCTTTTTGATGGCTCTTCTATGACAGAAAGAACAAAGATTCTTTCTGGGGTCTCTTTTATAATGGCACTAATCACCTCCCAAAAGTTCCACCTTGTAACACCCTAATGTTGGGGATTGGGCTTTAACATATGAATGTGGGAGGGGGGACACATAAAAGCCCAACCTATAGCACCAACATTATGTCTCCTAAACTCCAGACTCTTCTTTTAAACCATTTACTAGACAATGTGCCCACCTATCTGTCATGCTCAACTGACAAGAACAAATTCCAACATTTATTGTCAAACTTGCTCCAACTCCTTTATTCTCAATTTGGTAAATTACATTTCCATTTGCTCCAATAACAAAATTAAAAATGTGATTCCTTACCATGGATTCAGTTGGTTTCTAAGTCTTAATTCTACTCCCTCAGATCTTTCACATATCCTTTTATCCCTCTTCACTGCTACTGCCCTGCTTCAGAGCTTTTATCAGTGTATGTGCTTTATTTAGGTTGCAAGCCCCAGAGACAAACCTTTTCATTTCTATTAACTTAAGCAAAAAGGGAGGAGGTATTTGAAAGGATACTGGGAAGGCTCAGAGAATTGAAAGGAAAACTGAATAACCATGCTTCAGGGAGAACAACATCTGGGGCAGCTCTGGGCCCTCAGCAAGAGGTACAGATGCAATTAACTTTCAAATTCCTGGCAGAAAGAAGTCACCCAGGACTAGGACACAGAGGGTGAATGGAATAAGTATGTGACAATTACAGACTCTTACTATTGCTCAGCCACTCCTCAGTATGGCCATAGCCTTCTCATCTTGCCTCTTTTCAATTTTCTAATCTATAATTATTTTTCATACCAGAAATTGAAATGGCCGGGGTGGGGAGGACTTAACCTCTGAGCCACATGCCCAGACCTTTTTAGATTTTATTTAGAGACAGGGTCTCTCTGAGTTGCTTAGGGCCTCACTATATTGCTAAAGCTGGCTTTGAACTCGAGATTCTCCTGCCCCAGCCTCCTGAAACACTGGGATTACAGGTATGCACCACCTTGCTTGGCTCTAATTTGTAATTCTTCCATCTTTCCAATCTAGAGTTTATGCCGCCACCATTTTCATCGTTCTGAAATATGTGTCATTCAATGGGTCTTTGTACTTAAAATCCCTTAATAGCTCTTCATTACTCAAAGTAACCTACCAGCTTCCTAGCAAAGACTTCATTTCAGGATTTGAATTCTGTCTACCTCTCCACTCTCACCTATTTTACCCATCCCCATAAATTTGATATTCCAGACATTCTGCAATTATTTTAATTCCCCTAAACAAGTTGTACTTTGTTGTATTCTTGTGTTTATTTCTAGATTGCCTATTCATCACAATTCCCTGTGATGAATAGGCAATTGCTGTTCCCTCTTTCCAAGTGTCCATTTTCTGAGTTCCTTTCCTGGTCAACTCACACTGACTTTTGCAGGCTCAGTTTAGTATTAGTTCCAAGTCTTTCCCAAGCTCTTCTTGTCTGGGTTAAGTGCTCTTCCTCTTTGCTTCCATAGCATCCTGAACTCATCGATAATTTAGGCATCACAGGATTGTGGTCAATACTTTTCTTATCTCTTCCTGGATAAACTCTTAATTCCTTAAAATAGAGGATTACAACTGAGCTAGGCATGGTGGCACACACCTGTAATGCCAGTGGCTCTGGAGGCTGAGGCAGGAGGATTGGGAGTCAAAGCCACCCTCATTTAGCAAGGTCCTAAGCAATTTAGTGAGACCCTGTCTCTAAATAAAATATATGAAGGCAGAGAATGTGGCTCAGTGGTTAAACATCTCGGTTCAATCCTAAGTACCAAAAAAAAAAAAAAATACAAGTGATTTATCCTGGTTCCTAACATGTCATACATGTTCAGTAAAAAAATTGAAATAAACAAAAACTGACTTTGAATGCTTAACATACAAAGCACGGTGGAGTGCAAATATGCTTAAATTCCTATTTCCATTTTTAAAGAGCTGACTGCCTCAGGGACAGACAAAATCTGCATAAAAGAAAATTATAAGAATTACAAGATACTATATTCATGCATGCATGCGCACACACACACACACAAATAAATAAATAAATAAAATCAATGCCTATAAGACAGAGTTTGGAAAGTCTTCTTTCAAGAATCTTGATCTACAAATGTCAAATGTCTTCTTTGATATAAAGAGAGCCACTAAGAATAGAACAGGAAGGAAGAGCATGAGGAAAAGACTAACAGTAAACTAAGACGAATGGGGGGAGAGAAAGGAAGAGAGAAGGGAAAACATATGGAAATGGTAGGAGACCTTCAGTGATACACAAAATAATAAGAGGTTATGAGGGGCAAGGGGGTGGGGGGGAAAAAAGGGGAGAGAATTGAACAACAGCAGAGGAGGTAGAGAGGGATGTTGGGAGGGGAGGGGAGGGGAGGGGGGATAGTAGGGGATAGGAAAGGTAGCAGAATACAACAGTCACTAATATGCCATTATGTAAAAATGTGAGTATGTAACAGAAGTGAGTCTGTATTATGTATTTGGGGAGTTCAAAACCCAATTGAGTCGAATGTATGAAAGATGATATGTCTTGAGCTCTGTAATGTTTTGAACAACCAATAAAAAAAAAAAGAAAAAAAAATTTGATCTGAATAGTAACATAAAGAAAAAAATGATTCAAATATTTAGGGAGAGTGTTTTAAGTATGAGGAATAAGAGAGGAATGCTCATTGTGTTTATAACACTCTGAGGAATGGGGTGAAAATGTTGGCTAAGGTAGAGATGGATTAAGAGATGATGATCAGGTCAGTGTATATGGTGTGTGCAGGGGAAGCCACAGGGTAGAAAAATAAAATGGAGCAGATCATAGCAGATTGTGTTTAAGTAGGTCTTTGTTCTCACAATTCTTAGTTTTCAACATAGAACTCCTCCACATTCTAGATTGCCTGTTCATCACAATTCCCGGGTCTCCTCCAGAATCCACGAGAGAATCATTAAGATATTTTCAAAATGGAAAATTTCCATATCAAGGAATTTTATCTACTTCCCAAATGTCCTCAAAGGTATTGTATGCCAAATCTTTCAGATCTCTCTCTCTTTCTCTCTCTCTCTCTTTGGTGAGATGGGAGGGGGGTCTCTCTCTGTTATCTAGACTGACCTCAAACTCCTGGGCTTGAGTGATTCTCCTGCCTCAACCTCCCAGGTGGGTAAGGTTACAGATACACACCATCTCACCCAGCTAGAGATATTTTAATTTTGAGGGTAGTTTTTGTGTTAGTGTGATTTTTTTTTCCCAGGCTGGGCTGTGCATGAGCCACACAACACAAACTGTAAGTCCCACTTGGATAGATCCTTTTAATTTTAGCTTTAATATGTACTCAAACTGAATTTACAATTCCAAAAAATAAAAATAAAAAATGAAGGGGGGAAAAGGATGTTAAACTTATTAGTCTGTTTCTTCAGATGGGAACTTCAGGATTAAGCTCAGTCTAGTTCCAAACTGTGGATCATCATCTTTAGGATTTGTTACTACACATAAACCCTAAAAAAAAAAAAAAAAAATCACCTCTCAACATGAACACAGACCATTGTTCAAGTCTGGGGTCTTTATAGGAACTTGGACTATACATTTTATCAAAGTTCTCCTTAAGAGTCAAGGTCTCCAAAATGTGGTTCCACCTTGTCTACCTACCCTTATTTTTCACTACTTAAAACAACAATCACCTTCCAGGAAGATGAAAGGTTTCATACACCATCCTGCAAGGAGGCCTGGTTCAGGCTTCATATCTTTTAGGAAGCCTCTTCCCTCAACCTAATTGACCCCTTATTTTTCTCTAAATGGTACATTCCACGTCATCAGCCTCTATCTCCACTTCTCATTGCCTATGCATAGCAAACCCCACCCCCTCCCCTGCAGTACAAATCCACACTTTTTTCCAACTTCTTAGGCCTAATCTATGGATGGGTATGGTTGTGTTGAAAGGAGATATAAATTAAAAAATGGCAATTCCTCCAACTTTCTCTCACTACTTGATACATGCAAGTTCATTTTTATTTAAGTTCATGTAGGTAAATCTCTCCACTATTAAGGAATTAGAATGCCATCTTTAAATCATTTGGTTAATGCCCTCCACTTTACAGATGAACAAATTGAGGACCTTCCCCCAAGAGATGAAGTTCATTTCATTAGCATGTATGTGTCATTATTGCTTCACAATAATCATCTCTGCTCCTCCCCATTGACCAAATAAACTTAATTTATTGCAGAAAAGGACCACTATTTTGTATTTTCTGTATCTATAATATTGTCTATCAGTCTTCTCTTATTTTTCATACAGGATGAAGAAGAAGGCTGGGTACACAGTGTGCGCTAAAGAAGGAATGTTTGAATTGAACTGAATCCCTGCAGAACGCAGACCATTTAGAGACACTGAGTTTGGACTTGGTTGAATACCTGCCTTAGGTTGGCCCAATTAGCAGTGAACAAGAATGGACGAAGAGAGATATGGCAAGTGGGTAGTCTTGTTTGCTTAACTAAGTTACAAATGTTGTTTTACATAGCTTACTTTTTATCCCAAAGCACTTTGAACAGTGCTAATCACAGAGTAGATTCTCATTAAATACATTTTAATTAGTTGTTTGCAGATCAAAACACCAGAACTTGGTCTTTGTTTCATAAAGCAACTATAGCCAAAAAAGAAAGCATTAGAGCACTGTTAGACTAAAGAAATATTTTTCATGTAGTTCTAGGCCTTACATGGGCCTTGAAGAAGAGTATCTGGGATCCTATCTGCTTTTTAGATACCAAAGAATCATTGGAAAAAGCACTACAATAAAAATTGTGTTATTTATTATAACTTACAGTAGTAGGCCACATCAAAAGGGCACAAATTTCCAGATGTTAAGTTGAATTAAATTATTTTGATCTATCCACAATGGATGTCCTCCCCTTGGGATCATTTCTAAGAGCTACTGCCTAAGTTAATAGCAGAATTGGTAGCTAGTAATAAATGGAAGTTATCATCCCTGGATGGGATTTGATCCTGGATTCAGGATTGTTTACACCATGCTGTAGCCAGTTGACCTACCAACTACATAGACTGGCTATTTCTACTTTTCTTACTTTGGACTTTATTCAGCTAGCCTCATTTTCAAAGGATAGAGGTGTAGTGCTTGCAGAATTCTTCTGAATTTAAGCTAGTTCAACCCCAGAAAAGAATTCTGAGGAGGAAGAGAACCATTTATTTGAATCATTAACCTACTCTTACTGATGAGTATCGTCTACTATATTCAGGCAGTTGAACGGGGTTACAAAGAATCAGTCAGGTAATCCAAAATACTTTATTATTAGATATTGCAACTTCTGCCCTTTCCCCTACCCCTTTCTGCCAGAGAGAACAGGTGTCTGGTGAGGTATGGGAAAGTGAGTTTGAAAATATTTGCCATTAATGGTTAGTTTTACTACCTTAGTTCTAGGAAGACAAACTTTTAGATGTGGTTAGGAAGATCAGATAGACAGTAATCCATGCAAGGTCAAAAAGAATAGGAAATTTAGTCAGGCATGGTGGTGCATGCCTATAATCCCAGGGGCTCAGAATGCTGAGGCAGGAGGATCACAAGTTCAAAGCCAGCCTCATCAAAAGTGAGGTGCTAAGCAACTCAGTGAGATCCTGTCTCTAAATAAAATATAAAATAGGGCTGGGGATGTGGCTCAGTGCTCAAGTGCCCCCGAGTTCAAGTTCAAGTGCCCCTCAGTGGTCAAGTTCCCCCCCAAAAAACCCAGGAAATTTAGTTGTGAAGTTCCATGAACTCTGTTCATCATTGGCAAAAACAGTGCCACCTCCTGGAAGTATAGTAGGGAGGCATTCAAAACAGGCATTCAGAGTCTTTAAGGGTATCCTGAGGGTCTAGCTGCCCAAAAGAATTTCTTTAGAGAGTCAACTAGAGCACTTATTTGGGTGATTTAAAACTTCTATCTTAGAAGAAAACAATTCATCTGGATGTTAGTCAATCTCCTAGATGTCTCATAGTCAACCCTTTAAACTAGAATTTTCTCCAGTATGAAGGCTGAATAACAAATATGATTCTTTAATACATATTCAATTTTTGATCACCTAATTAATAATCTAAATTAGGCTCCTAAACTTAGTTGAAGGAGACTGAGAACATGCAAAAGGCCAGGATGCTGAGTCAGCAAATGCTGGTGGATGTTCTGTCTCTTTTTCAGGTTTCAAAATGGCAAACCAAAGACTTTATCGAATAAGCCAGATAAGCCTGAGAAAGGAATAGCTGCTGATGGTGAAGAGGTAAGGAAGAGCAGTAGCACACATTCACGTGTAATTTGCTTGGAGTGCTTACCAGTTGGGGCTACAGACTTCTGGTGGGAAAGTAAAAAGGGGTAAAAGCTGATATACAGAACAACATTAATTTATCTTCATTTTGTGAAACACAGAAGCATAGGGGGAAAAAAAAAAGAGAGAGACAAAGAAACATCAGCAACAAATCAGGGCACGGAACCCAGGAACCAGAAATCTATCTCAGGGAGTGAGGGGGAGAGTTAACCCCTGATTTACCTGAACTTTATGGCTGCCACTTGTAGCAGAACTCTTGGTTGCTTTCCCAGCTTTATCATATTCAAGTGAATTTACCAGGCCAGCTTTTATTTCATCAGCCAGCAATAATGCAAGTCAACATTATAAAACTAAAAACATATTCCAATTTGGACAATCTTGTGGGTTTAGTCAACCACTGGAAGCTAATTTGGAACAAAGTTTCAATTCCTCAGAAAAAAAAATTCAGGAGTTAAAAACATTTTCAGGGGCTGGGGTGTGGCTCAGTGGCAGATTGCTTGCCTAGCACATGTGAGGCACTGGTTCAATCCTCAGCACCACATAATCAATAAAATAAAAGCATTCTGACCATTTACCAAAAAAAAAAAAAAAAAAATCCCCAGGGACTTTTCCTTCTCAAAATATTTGAAGAAAAAAATCTTTTAAAGAAAAAGAGTCTTCATACCTGTCTCCCCCGTAAACTTTTCTTAGACTTCTAATAGTTAAATGTTACATATATTTGCAGAACAGGCTTTTCATAGTATATTTTTGTTTTGAACAAACAGACTTAGGTTTTCCAAAAGATAATAAAAATTAAATAACTGTATCTTTGGATTTGTCCCATATTTCATCTCACCCTTCCAAAAGTGAGTCCTCTTCCAGTCCTCTTCCAACCCCCAAGAATTGCAATATTCCTCCCTGAGGGGAGTCACAACTCCTCTCCCACAGTTGTGTCCCATTCTTGACTTCTTCCCTCTTCTCAATTTGCCTTCTTGCTTTATGCACCTTCCCATGCTTGTCTCTTTTCCCCTGCGCCACATTGAACCATATCACCTCCTGGTGGGTGAAGCTATCTTTAGAAATGCTGATCCCAAAATAGGATCATGCTCCCTACCTTTTTTCCCCCCAAAATTTCTGACTTTGCCAAGGCAAAAGAAGGTAATTCGGAGCTTTCAACTCCTTATATTTCATACACAACGCACTCCTCCTTGTGTTCCTCCCTTTGGTTCATACTTAAACAACCTAGGGCTAAGCAAGAAGGAGGTAGCACTGCTGGGAGCAGGAGGCAGGGGATGAAGGAGGCTCAGCTCCTATACTACCAGAGGAGACGCTAAAAAATCCACAAATAACCAGCTCGACCACCACCAATGCAAAGTAGTAGAGAGAGCAATACTAAAATTCAATTACTTTTTGTAACGTTTTTGGAAGAATCAGAGAGAGATGTTCAAAAATGCAAAATGCACTTTCTTCTCCCTTTCTCTGTGTGTTTGTTCCCAGCCCTATTGACAGACTTGTCCTGATGGCCCCCTAGCATCCACAACCCCCGGTTTATTGCCCTTTTGTAACTTGCTTTTCTCCTTCAAAATGGTCCTCCAGGTTGAGGGCCACTCCATCTGACCCCTATAGATAAGGAAAAGGCAGAGCAAGGGGTGTGATTCCTTGGGGATTTGTCCCTGTCTGAGCGTGGATGCTATGCTTATCTACTTCACCTTGAAAGAGCCTTACCTGACATTTCATAAGTCTGGTCTTCATTTCCTTTACAAACGTCCCTCTCAGACCCCTGCTCTCCTTGCTGTGGCTTTCATTCCAGAAAACCAGGGTGCAAAACATAAAGGCCAGTGTTTTAGATTAGTGTGCATTGGACAGCCCTTTTTAGTGAGACTAAGGTGAGATAAGGAGGAGTAACTTGAAATCAATATTTCTTTTTATTGTCTTTAGGTTTTTGATTACACCGGGCAATCCAAATTTGTCCTAAAGAACCTTCGGTATTACTCAGTTCATCCAAATTTGGTAGGTGGAAAAATGTTTCTCCAAGAGATCTCTAAGGACAAATTTAGCAGCAGGGCAGAGGCCCACCACACAGTACCCCTAATTCCCTGGTAACCTCCCAATGCCGTGGTCCCCTTCCCAGGACAGGGAGGCAGAGCAGCCTTGGAAATATAAGGTTTGAGGCAGAGCTTGGATCCTGGTGGTGAGGTGGGAGGGGAGACCTGGGCAGAAAGTGGTCCTCGCAGTTGGTATTTTTTAAGTTGAGAAAACATATTTATAATCAGGGAGAACATATGTATAATCCAAGTTCTCCCCCTCCCTTCCTCTCTCTCTAATCCTATTGCTGGAAAAGCAAATTTAGTGGGCCGGCCCTTGCCCTCCCACGCTTTTAAGTGACATGCTGTGTGTTTCTTGACTGTCTTTTCTTTCTAGTTGTGCTTATGAAAGCCTGTAAGGGCAGCTGTGCCAGGGGAGAAGTGTCTGCAGGTGGGAAGTAAGGGAAGCTGCGCATGCTCCTAGAGAACTCCCTGAGCAAGGGGCTTGGGTCCCTGGTTAAACTCTCTGCCTCAGAGATGGTGGCTGGGACAGGACTGGTAACATTGAGTCACAAAAAACCTTCTTGGTTTGCCCCACTGTGCTGAACACTATGTTACACCTTTTTTTTTTTTTTTTTTTTTTAAGAATTAAATCTTTTTGTTCCTGTTCCTGTGTGAACATTTCTGATGCCTTGCCTCAGCCCCTGGGCCTTTTTGCAGGGGAATTAATACTCTGAAGGAAGTCAGGGACAAAGAGCTTCCTGTGGTTTTGGATCAACAGTTTTGGGGACAGATTTTCCCAGTCATTGCTCAACCTCTCTCTCTACCCCACAGAGAAGAAAGATGAGTCAATTGGTTTGCTAGTTTTCTCTTGATCTAATCTCTTTGTCTCTCTGGAAACCTATCTGCTCAGGCCCGGTACTATGAACCTTTGAAATCCACTGTACTACAGAAATTCCTGGATCAAAACAGGAAAACCACCAGCTTCATGTTAAAAGTAACCGAGTTTGATCAGGATTTGACCTTACTGATTATGACCAACAACCCACCTCCCTACTCAATCAACCAGCAGGAAAAGGATGGCACTCCAAAATACTTTTCCCAGAAGTTACTGCTCGAGGTAAGGCACCCAGGGATTTTCCTGGCAACTCAAGTATGAACTCTGAAGAATTAGAAATTAATTAATTAATCTGGATTAAGGAACTAACAACATGGAGAATGATACTCAGGAAACTACCTCTTCCTTCTCATTTCTGGATATATACTTCACAAAACAGAATCTGGAGGGCCTGGCAAATAGGCAGAATAGGAATTCTATCAGCTTAAGCCATGAAACTTTATTTCAGGGAGAAGATGGGGTGTAAATTAGAAAGTGTTTTTCCTGAGTATTTGGTCAAAGACATTTGTAACAAAGGGGAAACTGTCCACTGGCTTTGTAATCGAGAATAAAATAGTAAAAGATGAATCAGGAAATGAGTAATGAAGAAAAGCGGGTATCTAAACGAGAAGAAAGTCAATAAATTATACCCATTGCTTCTGGATGATAGGAGAGAGGAAAAGGAAATTAACCATTACCATAGATAGACATTTGGAACTCCATTATAAGTTAAAGATGTTCAAATGCCATTCAATAAACAATTGCTGAGCACTCAATAAGGTAAAAACCAGAATATAAAGATGGATCACAGGGCAGTTTCTATCTTGAAGGAAGTTGGAATCCAAAAGATCAAAAAAAAGTGAGATACAAAAAAGTAATTCTAACCCACCAGGATATATGAATAATTGAAGAATCGACAAGATACAGATGTAACATAGAATAGACAACAGTACCTCTGTTGGGGAAAAGGGAGTAATCAAGGAGGTGACTCACAACAAAAGAATAGGAGAATGTTCCAATCAGAGGGAAGCGTGTGGAGGCATGGAGACGTGAGAAAGCCAGGCACATTCAGGGAGATGTAGAGAGTAAATGGTGGGAGATAAAAGGATGTAATCAAATTTGCGTTTTAGAAAGAGCATTTTGCAGGTTGAAGAAGGTGCATTAGTAATCCAAGAGACAAAAACTAGAAAGATTAGTTTTCATGTTACTATAATAGTCAAAATGAGAGATACTGAATATTTGAACTAAGTCAATAGCAGAGGAAATAAAGCAAATTGATTTAAGAGATATTTAGGCATCAGGATCTAAGAAAGATCTTGACAGCCTTGAGAGAGGGCTTAATCTAACAGGAAGAAATTAAATGAGATAAGTGAAAGTGCAAACAAAAGAATCTTGATAGAAATTAGATTCTGGAAATGCGGTATCCCAAGAGAGACACTTATAATAAAATGTGGTGCATTTGGAGTCAGTGTTTCCTTAGTTCCTAGATGGATAGCAATCAGAGTATCCTCTTCAAGTAGAAGATAAAATGTTAATATCTAATGGAATATACTGACAAAGGAATTAATGAATTCATTGCTTGTGGTCTCTCGGGTGCACTTTGAAAGTAAGTGCAGAGGTCATTTCTCCTGTTAATGGATATAATGTGCACTGAGAGAGAAATAATCCAGGTTAGGATTGCCCTGCTCAACACAGAGAAGGAAATACAAGGCTAACATGTAAGCTGGTGCAGGAAGAGCTTTCTTCCAGCAACTGGTTAGGTGCAGAACCTGATCATATTCATGAGCAAATTGTGGAACTGACTAAATTGAATTAATAGACAAAGTTAGGCTCTGATTGTTAAAGACTGATTTTGCAATATCTACAATGGCTCTTTAATATTCACGCTGCATCCTCTCATTCCCTGACTGGGAAAGACAATCTTTTGTGAATTTAGGATTGTATACATGAAAAGCATTCTTTTACTATGCCCAGGTCCATGTAGAAGAAGAGTGTGGGTTCCAGTAGGCAAACTGTAGAATGATACTAGTGTGTCTATCACAGTGATGACTGTTTCAGTCCCTTTTAAGTGAAACGGCTCTTCCCACAGTCTCCTGAAGAAGGGAATATCCCCTATTCTATTTTGTACAATTTGATCTATCTCTACTTCTAGCATGGACCAGAGAAGGATACTGGACCCAGTGAAGCATAATTCATAGTCTGGTTAGTGATCTGTGGTATGGATTGGTACCCCCAAACCAAAATGAACCAAAACAAAACAGAAGTCAACCAGCTTAGTAATAACTGACATTCCTGAGCGACTCAGATTCTTGTTTCCAGGCACCTGAATTGGGAAAGCAGTAAGAATGAAAGCAGAAAGGATTCATAGAGTAAAGCCATGACCCAAAACATGAGGAAGAGGGGTACTGCAGGGGCCATGAAAGTAGGGTATGGGTGGGTTGAAGTTATAGGAAAATAGAAATACAGAAGGAGAGGGTAGGGGAAAGAGAGAGAGGAATGAACAAGGTAGAGAAGAAGGAAGCAGGAAGAAAGTAGGAGGGACATGTTAGTGATATTCGAGAGTCAAAATGGTGGTCCTTTTATAGTGCCATTTTGGACTCCAATATCTTTTTAGGTTTTTTTTTTTTTTTTTTTTTGCCATGAAATGCAGTTCTACTAAGGCTTCTGCTCTTTTTATGGTTGAGTCATTGGCTATGTCTTTATTTCCTAGACACATTTGCTCTTTCACTAAAACACCTATTAGTTGAGGTAGCTTGAATAGATTTTTTTTTAAAGAGAGAGTGAGAGAGGAGAGAGAGAGAGAGAGAGAGAGAGAGAGAGAGAGAGAGAGAGAGAGAGAGAATTTTTAATATT